CAATTAATTAGCTACTTGTTAAGTATTGATCCGTTAAATCTACACTGATCACGACCTTCGATGATATAAAAACGCAATAAAAAGTATTGACATATTGGCCATTAACATTATTATGTAACATTTCTGTCGCCATGGGGAACAGGTTTATAGAGTCAGGTGTTCCGTGATCGCATATATTTAGAAAATAAAAATAAACAACGTGTTTATCACCGTTATCATTCGGTTGGAGCGGTTTATTATCTGAATAGTTATAGTGCTTTAGTTGTCTAACGAAAAGGTTTTAGCTCAAACCTATTTTGAAACTGTCAAACACCAAGCGGTCACCGGTGACCGCAACCTATTGTTGTGACGGTACTCGACGAGTTAAATACTTACACATAAATAACTGCTATGTATTTTAAGGTTTACAACAAAGGATCAGAAGCGTGGACTTCTGTAGATGTTCTTTATTGTGTTTTATACCTAATAATTGCTACGACAGACAATAAAAATGAGATAGATAATTATGAATAATGGTCATATATTATTCTGACTTTTATTGAACATTCTTGTTGTTATTTAACTCAAGGAAGGATTCAAGATATACCTACGTACAGTACGTAGGTACACTACTGAACAACTTTCAGGTGCAATTTATAAAATAAGTTATACCCATAAATTACTTAACTACAATAAAAGCAGAGAAAACAACGAGGGTACAAAACGAGCGCATATTTTACAGGACAGAACTGCAGATGCTAGTGTAATTTAGAGAAAAATAGCACATTAACTTAAAATCACGCCTTTTATCCCCGAAGGGGTTGGTTCATAGAGGTGCTCATTACGACACAGAACCACTGTACAATGTAAAACCCACTTTTTACTATTGATGTTATTTTATTTATGGCATTTGCCGGTAAACCTGCAGACGGATCACCTGATGGTAAGGAATCGGCGTCGCCTATGGACACCTGGAACACCAGAGGCGTTACAAGTGCGTAACCGGTTTTTTGGGGATTAGGATTGAGGATCGTTGGGGATTGGGGAGATTCGAGAAGGGGAGAGTAATTGGGCCTCCGGTAACTTCGCTCACACGACGAAATACAACGCGTTGCTCCACGTCAGTTTCCTGTGAGGCCGTGGTATCACTCCGGTCGAGCCAGCCCATTCGTGCCGAAGCATGGCTCTCCCACACAGGTTATGCGTCCCATGTAATAGAGAGTGAACTGAGAATATACATACCTACTTGGCTAGTCATACGATTCAGAGGTGAATCGCATGATTTTCCCCTCTTATAAAAAAAGCACACACCGTCATTCATAAGCCCTTCAATTTTTTTTGCGCCGCCGTCATTTTTCCACAGTCACACGCGTCTCGCAAAATCTCAGCGCTTCTCTGTAAAGCACCATAGGCAGGCCTAGTTTTTATTAGGGATAATACGACTCTACTGGATTAGAACGTTCGCATTCCCTATAGTTATGTAGTACTTAGCTACTTACCAAAACAATGTAAAGTACTTCGCTTTCACAGCAACGATAAGAAGGTTTGTTTATTTGTGTTACTCTTTGTTACCTGTACTTACCTGTTATTGGTAACCGGTTGTTCCGCGATAACATTTTTAGGCCACGGTCAGTAACGATATAAGTACGTTTGTATTTTTACGTTTACAATTCTGTTGCTCCTTGTTATGCCTTGTTGTATTGACTTAATACCTACTTAGTCATCATAAAGAGTGTTACTCTTGAAAGGAACTTAATTTTGGACCTAGATTTTATAAACATTATTGTAATCATCATCAGTATAAGAGCAATGAAGTCCGGAATCTTTACGCTTTTTCGAAGTAGATTGGCGATTACAATCTTATACCCATATAGGCATCTCATCCGAAATCATATGTCCAGGTTTGCTCAATAAAAAAGGGGCTGATAAAGAAAGTAGGTTAGGTATCGACTCATGCAAAAGTCGGCACTTGCCATGTTTCGAACCTGCACTACATACAATTAATTACTTACATGCAATTAATGCGTAAAACTTACAAGGCCCATTCATTTTCATGAAATATTTATCAGACCAGACTAGTAACGCCATCTAGTGTGTTTCATGGGCACTACCTCTAGCTCTACCTACCGCTTAAATTGAAGCTTTCTGCACTAGTAAATAGATAGAGCTACTTGCGATACATGATAATTTTATAATAGTAATATAATAATAATACCAAGCGATACAATGTTTAGTTGCATTCCTAAGAATTAAGACGCATTGGTTATAGGTACTTAAATACTTACTAGTAATGAAAAGTTCCACTTCAGAACGCACACCTTTGTAAACTCCTGTAGCTTCCAATACTTCCATGTTGCCACTGAGGGCCTAATGAGAGTTTTTTTTATGTTGACGCAATCGAAACGTTTCCAAGTTTAGCTCTCTGGTTGGTTGAATAATTGGAGCTGGCCAATCAGAGTGTCGAATGGCATGATCATGTCGTACGCGCAAACTAAACTCGCACTAGGCCCTTTATACAGACACGCTGGTTAAGTGTGCTTGAAGCATCTCACCTACGAACTCCGCGTCGTTTTTCTAGCGTGGCTCTTATTGTCATAACTGGCATTACCAACAACGCCATCTTTTGTGGCAGAACATTTTCATGTTCTATCTACCTTTGGGGGGGGGGGATCATATAATTACTTCTCCCGCCTTGGGTTAGGCAAGAGGAAGTGTCCGACTCTTACTGACTAAAAACCACCCCGTTCCTACTCCTGCTCTTCGGGCCGGAGCCCCGGCAACCCGCTAGGCCTTCCGGGGCTCCGTATCGGACATCAGCCCTACTGGGGTCCATCTGTAGTGATGGTCTAGGTACCTACCAGCCAAAATATCACCGCACTGTCATGGCACGTACTTTTCATCTCAGGGTACATTTGTCCTACTTTCTTGCCTTGTCTATCAAACTTAGCATTCATTTCAATGCATGCATTGGTACTAAAACAGCCTCGTAAATGGCCAGTCGAACCTTCAAGAACTTCGACTGGTTAATCACGACCACAGATATATTAAAGAAGATCACGACTGTAGTAATGTACCCACAGAAATATTAAAAAAGAATGTACCTATATAGCGATGTCACCATTCATACTGCTATCCGCATACACTCTTCTTTTCATGACCTCATTTTTCAACAAGTTTTTCTAGTAAATAGGAAAATATTTCCTTCTATAGGTAACTATGAGTTATCTCCTTATTCCATCCAACTATCATTCATTTTAACATGGCTTATTGACATATCGTCTTCTCACCCTTTCAAAAACCACATTGCTCCAGATTCAGTCATTACTTTTACCTCTTACTGCTATATGTTTCAATGTAGGGTTAGTAGGGATTTATTAAAACAAGCATATACGATTGTATACTTTATTAATGCAAGGGGAACAACCAAAATAGAAATGACGAAAATAGGTATATAAATTCGATCAGTTCCTCGCTCTATCAGTATATTCAAACACCCTGTAGGGTTGTAAATAGTAAAGATTTCGAAAGGTTTTGAGATAAATAGACGGAAAAGATAATTTAGGTACGCGCTCACGCACAAATAAATAAATAAGGTACCCCTAGGGTGAATATTTTTTACTAGTTTAGAGTGGGCTGAGCAAATTTATGAAGATTTTAGAACTAGGTACCTATATACAGGTAGTACCTATGTACTAATAATTTAATTACAACACCCAATATACCTACACAACATCAATTACATCAACACCTAGTTTTCAACATTTTCGTTTTTTGGTTGTAATCTACATATATATATAATGTGCTTACGTCTACTTTTTATATTACGAACTTTTTTTTTACATTTTATTGATTTTTTTATTTTTTTTTTGTTCTCTCTAACTTAATATTAGGTATGTCCCTAATAATACTTTAAACAGTTTAAGGTACTTGTAGTAGCATTGTTGAATCTTATTTTTAAACAATTAGCATAATTAGCTTAATTAGCATACACACTAACATACGTCCTAGATTATAATAATAATTAAATGATTAATTTTGATATAACCAGATTATGATATTAATTTTGAGCAAACATGTAAATGCCTGCCTTACTAGAGGCAGTACCTAGGTACCTTTACGAAAATGAACCCAATTTATTCCCAGTCAATTTACCTAGCCTTCTGACATTAAAAAAACTTAACCGTGATTTACCTAAGCATAATATTAGAGTTTTTATTCAGATAAATGATTGACGTTTAATAGGTACGGTCGAATGTTTCCGATTAAATTACAATATCAATTTTAACTTTACTTATAAGTAGGTATTATTATAATGAAATCGTTGAATATATGTTACTGTAGCTGTATAAGTGCTTGTGTATGGATGGTGAAATATCTATCTGTATATATAATTACTACAAACTACAATAATTTACATGTATATTAATTGGGTAAGTAGGTACTAAAAATTTTGACAAAATTGCGTGAGCCAAAATGGTTAAATATTAGTAAAATCTGAGACAAATTAAGTGCTGCCTCTAAGTCCTTATATATAATGTTGATTAAATATTGATTAAATGCTTACAACTATTTTAAGTTGGGTGCACCCAAGACATGGAGCTGCAAGGAAACATCATTTCCTATCGCAGACCATGTGATACTTACAATACTGTTACACTTTTGTACGTTCGCTCCCGCTATTTAGTAGATAGACATTATCAAGTAGGCCCCTAACATTATGTTAGATACATAAGCTCCTCGATTTCAAAAGAAAAATAAAAGTAAGAAGCCAACTAAGTTATAGGTAAGTATGTACGATCAGACTAATATCTCTTTGAACTCCTAAACAATCACACTTTTATAAATTCATCAAACGAGTAGGTTTACCTCCTCGATAAAAACATGTTATCAACTATTAAAATAAAAGAAAGCAATAAATAAATAGACTACAGAAAAACATATTTTTTTTTCTAAAAGTAAAATACTTACGAAAATATATTATGTATATGAGAATTGTGTTTATGATATACTACTGTTCCATTACCGAAAATAAGTGAAAGCTAGGAGAAGAAAAGCTAAAATGTATGTACATTGTGCCTACATACTTACAAATAAACAATAAATTACTATTATCTTTCAGATATATCACATTGTTCGGAGGGCAAAAATATATTTAACTTAGAATAATTTTTTAAACTTAGAAAGAATAGTTAACTTTGAAAAGTTTTAATTAAGTAGGTAACCATATTTATAAGATATTCTTACTAAGCAAATTAACACAACCATTTCAATAATGCTAGTTTAGGTGCATAAAGTGTGACCACGCACAAAAGTACATGGGGCCTTTGAATGTACATAGTTCACATCAATAACGATTTGCAAGTTTAAACTTTGGCCTGTATTTTCGCAGTTTGGCACTCGCTGAAGCAAGCATTGCGAACTATAATTTAATTTTAAATTCTAATTACTACAATAAAAGATGAGGAAACCGGAGAAGGTTTCTAGTATTGTGCTCACTTCGTGTTTTTGGAGGGTAGTTGCAGTCGCGCTGAGATCCTTGTATGTACATCTTCACCCTCTGTTATTACCGCTATGCCAAAAATGTTTCTTGACGAACGTAAGTAGCCCAGGATAGCCTCAAAGAAACTGATTCAGGTTGAGGCAAAGTCTTCATGTAATTCTGAAACGATGTTAAACGCAAACATTAAAATAAAATAAAAACGGCGTTTGGTTGGCCCCAACATTATTAAGGATTAGACAATTTGACGCCATATAATTTTCTAATCAAAATATCACGCCATATAATTTTCTAAGGCGTGTTTCTCGATGATGATAGTGCCAACAAACGTTACATAGTGTCCCATTTGTTAATGAAATGAAAAAAATATTCATCGGTCGGCCAATGAATATTTTTTTGAACTAATAAAGAATACATCTTTATTTTTTTGTTTTTACTTTATTTATTGAAAGTACTCTTTATGGCGAGTTCTTTTCCCGCGAGACGGGGCGGGGGTGAAGTGAGTTTCACAAGTGAAACGAGTGAATTTATTTCTGCAAATAGGCTACAAGGCAGCACTTTTACACGTCAATATTATCAAGCGAACGATGAGGTCGACATTTCCTAACTGACTACTTTGAGAAGAAATGCCGAAACAAACTCAGAGGTACTCACTCACGGTGTATATAATATGTTACCGGTTAAACCCCATTTCAGGACAAGCTAGTTTTAACTAGGCTAAACTAGTTCTTCCTATACGCGTTAGGATTAACTAGTATAGCCTAGTTCAAACTAATTTGTCCTAAGCCCGATAGGATAAACCAGTTTAGGCTAGGACAAACTAGTTGATCCTGATATAAATACTCACACTCTAGGATAAACTGGTATGACCCAGTCATAATATGGTTATTGCGCCTATTAAAAAGACAGTGTGACTACCTCGTTGGCCGAGTGGTCGCAAGCGCGACTGCCAAAGTATTACTGGGTTTTTAATAAATTCTCAGTAGTAGCACGGAGTTTGGAATTGTGCCCGGTATATGGCAAGAGGCTCACCCCCTATTACATGGGACTCATAACGTAAATAAGGAAAAGTGGGTGTTACATTGTTGTGGCATAATGTGCACCTCTGCCTACCCCTTCGGGGATAAGAGGCGTGATATTATGTTATGTTATGTACCTTAAATCTTTCGCTCCAATTGGTCACTCTCCGTCTCTTCCATATTTTCTGGTTTTTGGTTCTTCGGTTCGAGTTTAATAGCCAACTCTTCTTTTTTTTCCATGCTTGTGTCCTCTTCCATTTTTTCAGACTCATCAATATGACTATTCGAACCATCTTTATTTGACGCTTCGTCATTACTTTTCTTTGTTTCCAATTCAGTTTCTCCACCTTCGCTCACCAGCTCTATGTCGATAATGATTATATTTTCTTTCAATTCTTTCGGAATGTTTAATGTTTCGGGACTATTGTTTTCATTTTCCACCTTTTCCTTATCTTCTTCAAGCACTGCGGGCTTTTCGGTATCTTCTGGGTTTTTATTATCCTTGTTGATAGGGCTACTGCTTTCAATAGGTTCTTGTGATTTATTCTGTGCCGTTTTCTCTTCCTGTTTAAGCATTTCTTCCGATTGTTCTGATTTTGTCAATTTCTCCCTTGGTCTTTCGTTTGACTCCGTGTCACTTTCACCATCATTCTGGATTCGTAATTTTCTGTCTTGAATTTCTTGGTCTGTATGATGACGCTGTTCACAGCCTGAAGATGTAGTAGCCGCTTGTTCGTGGGGGGTATCTTCACTACTACTCACCTGTGGCTCAGCAGCCGCGTCTGGTAAAAGAATAAATTATGATTTAAGTACTATATGTAGGTACGCGTTATCATCATATTGATGATAATTAAAGTGGAGTAGGTACATAATTATGAATGACAAAAAAGGAAAAAGGACAATTGCATTTTACCCATACGGAATCAACTTTTGTGTGACTTGTACATCTTTTCCCATTTTTATTATGAAAATGTACTAGTAAATATTGTTTCTAGTGTCTTTCCAAAATCAAATAAAAAAAAAAATAAACAATTTTTAAGCTTTTTATACAAAATTGCTACATAATTATTTTACTTTTTTGTGTGGAAATTGAAACACAGAGTAGTTTTTAATGGATATTGTTCCTCATATAAAAATTAAATCGCGTGGTAGACTAAAATTTCGCCCAACTTTATTTGTGATGAAATTTTGCAGACCCATTACAAGCAATCGTATGAAATAACAGTTATGACATATCGATGGATGACTTAAGTTGAAATTGCTATATGGGGTTCATCAAAATAGCTATGCCACGGTTCGAAGGTGTATCACAATCATATGAGCATTAGGCCTATAGAGGAAAACACTATTTAAAATGCGCCGCTTGCTGTACTTCCACGAATGTGGACATTATTTTTCTTCCTAAATTTTCATTCAAATGTAGTTTTCGGCGTTCTTATTTACAAAGAAGACATAAATTATAGGCAATTGTGGCTAGTTCAAATTTGTAAATAATTTTCTTGTAAAATGCACAGGAAAGACGATTTTATAACAGTGAATGAATTCATTGCAATATTAATACTATGTACATAAAACAATAATGTGTGTCTTCTTTTAGTCACACTCCCAGTAGTTTTCTTTCTCATTACTGTCTATACAAATTACCATTTTTCGCCATTATATTTTGTTTCAGTCAGTAGGTACTAAGCTGACACTCGACCAACCAGGCTATACCTAATTGAATATCTACAACATGCTACATAGGTACATAAATTTTAGGTAGTTCACGTATATAGGTACGTAGGCACATAAACAATTGTGAAACATTTAAAGAATACACACATTATCGTTTATGGTACTTAATGTTTTATGGCAATGCAATGGTAATGTCATGACATCTTATGAATCTCAATAACAAAAAAAAAATAATTGAAATATTAATTACAACCAGTAAAGTTTTTACCATAAGAACACTCGGGGCCCATGCCCGGGGGACCCAACCTCAAGGGGCCCCCTAAGGACCGACAATTTTACGACGGACACATTACCGCTACACGTTGTGCGGCAACCGCGCAACGTGTCGAGGGTTGAGTTACGCTCGGAGAAAATCTTTGTGTGATCCAGAAATTGTTGTTTCGGGTTTGGGTGCCATACGTGCATGTGATCTTGTATGTTTATAAATGCACCCACGATACAGGAAAAAAGCCTAGTGTGGGAAAACGTTAAAAAAAGAAACATTCCCAACGGGTCCCGAATTGTTGTGTGCCCACGGGTCCCTGCGTAGTACATCACTATGTGCAATTGCTTTATATCCAACATCATAGGAAATTATGGCAAAAATATAACTACGAGAACTCTAACTAATATCCATAGATACTTATTAAATTACCTGCTATAGGTACCCAGTTTATTTGGAGGGAAGTGGCCACCTTTTGTGAGACTGTTAATGTCCCAAAAGGAGCCTGCTGAGCGGGATCATGAGAGGGCAGATCCCGCCCGTCGGAGGCGTCGAGGAAACAACCGCCGCGGCGCCTAATATGTTGATTCCCTGCCTACAATATTGCAGGCAAACCTTTGGGGTCATGGGCGCATAGAGTGGGGAATCTAGGCGCCCACATAATCACCTCAGGGATGACGGCGGCACAGTGGTCACGTGCTGCCGTGCACTGCACAGGAGAGGCTCTAAGTAGACACATAGGTCTCCATAGGGAGGCTTTGCACCGTGGGGGCTCCGGGGTTGGTCTACTAAGAGGACCCGGTGCCTCCTTCATATGCGGATGGTGGCCACCGGGGAGGTTTTAGTGAGGTAAAAATCATACACTCCCTAGTCTTTTTTCCCCAAAAAGCTAGGCGCCTTTTGAAGGTTTCCTTCCGTCAACAAAAAAAACAGTTTATAATTACGACCAATGCTCATACACGTTCTCTAAAATTTTAGGTATCTATCTACCTACAATTCGGTTTTTCACAATTTTTATCAATTAGTGATGTGATCGATGAGAAAACTTAGTGACATCAAATGATACTCTAGATGCTGTTAGCGATTGATTGAATAGATAAAGCTCAAGAGTGACAGCGATAATGACAGTGAATGATTGTAATTTTTCGCGGATAAAGCCAGTACACGTTTGTTTTACCTCTTCGCGAGCTAGCTCTTAACCTCAGCGTGGATTCGACCTCACCTAAAGACAAAAAACATAGAATATAAAAGATGGTTTGAAATTTGGAAAACAATTGTGTATTTATAACAAAAATAAAAATATATCAATAGTTACGTTAGTGTCCTTTATAGTGCTGTTTAAATGACTTGATATTTATGTTCTATTAAGTATAGAACAGGTGTTGTAAGGGGCACTGGATTAAAGTGAAATGTTAAATAAAATAGAATAGAGAACAAAACATACAAGAATACAGATTTTTAAATTCTGTGTTGGAGTAGAATCAGCTTACGGAGCTGACCTGTGTCTAGAGACGACGCAGCCTTCCGAAGAGCAACAGCAGCTACTTGGAGAGCATCGTGGATCGAGGGCGGAGACGAGCGGAGAGGCGCTGCAGCAGAGACGAGCCAGTTTGCCGATAAGCGGAGTCTGGCGCAGAGCGCTTTGGCAGATGGATCATTACTCGGAGAACTTGCATGCACCAAGTTTGCGGCTGATCTGATTGATTTAGCCGCTGTGCAGAGCGAATTTGCCGCTGACTGCAGCAAGTCGTGGGCTGTGCTTAATGGAGATGTCCCAGTGTTTGCTACCGTTTTAGCTGTGTGGACTGTGCCCGCAGCGAAGCGGATCGATCGTACTGTATCGTCGAGCCAGGTTGCAAATGTTCGTCGTGGCAAAACTGCACAAATTAACTAATACAGTAATTTTACTTATCAGATTAGGTGCTAAGCTCCATAAAGTTTAAAAGTAAACAAAGAACAGTATTAACTAACATTACTAGGTACTAACCTAATAGGAGGACTTATGCAGCTGTATTAATTATTACTATATCATTTTAGATTGAATGTTTTGTGTCAGGATTAATTTTGTATTTTTTTTATTTTAGTCATAGCTCCACACTAAGATTTTCTTCTGTGTTGTAGGTGCGTTTATAAACATAGTTCATATATACATTATACCCAGACCCGGAACAACAATCTGTGGAACGCACAAACAGTTGTTCCGTGCGGGAATCGAACCCTCGAACGTTGCGGGGCGGCCAGTTGCTCAGCCACCAGCAACCACACGCATCGCACCAACCGTGCAGGCGTGCAGTCTTATTTAAATTTTCAATACTTTACTGAAGCCCAGGCCGTGGCACCTTAACTTCAGAAGTGGGCCTCCAATTTTTTGCCAATTGGTCAAACATTAGCCTTACATATTATACATGTTCCGATATTTACATACATAAAAATATATATTATTGGCTTCTAGATGGTCTAGCAAGTAGGTTTGAGTATTTCCGTAACGAACATAATGTTTTTAATTATATTTTTCTTTTTCAAGTGTTCTTTTTATGCCAGGAGTTTTTATTATTTTTAATTTATAATATTTTATTCTCATTATTGTATATATTTCTGTAGAACGTATTTTTACCCCATAATTTATTCCTTAAAAGAAGTTGAGCACTCGATTATAAAATTATTTATATGAGTGTGCTTTTTTTTGAGACTGCTTGTATACTGCTTGTATGTGTCTGGTATTTGCACACATTCGCTTATTCTTTCTATCTCTACTTTACCCCAAAACTTTTAAACTTTCTCAGTAGGTATATTTACCGATATTTTAGTTAATTCAGTTTGGTTTAAATTCATACTTAAAAATATATGTTCGTCTGCTTAGATGTGATTTTTTTGTTGATAGCTCAGAACTGACGTACTCGTCTGTCTAATCCCGTATCTGTTTAGGGACTCCTCTTAATAGAGTACAGTACAGGTACATTTATTCTTTGCTACCTGTATGTTATTAAGCAACGAATAAAACTGTACCTACATGCCCCTTTCTTTTGAGGGGGGAAAATCATTCAATGATTTCTCCCGCCCGGGTGAGGCGAGCGGGAGTGTCAGACTATTATTGACTAAAAACCACCCCGTTCCTACACCTGCACTTCGAGCCGGAGCCCCGGCAACCCGTTATGTCTTCCGCGGCTCCTCTCCTGGCTAGATACCTACATGCCCCTTGCCCCCACATGTTACCCTACTAAGTTACCCTAGTTTAATTTATTTTTATTGAAGTTTCATGCACAGATTGTACATTAGGTAGACTTAATGTCTGTCTCATCTTTGGGTGATGCAGAGAAGAGTAAATGGTAGGAGCAAGAAGCACATAGGTAACACATTACAATTCGATAGGTATCTAGTCATTAAAACTACATGGATATTATCTATTATAATTTTTACCATCGACCACCATATTGTGTTCAAGTGTGGTTTCAATATGGGTATAAAATACTATATAATAAAATAAATATAGACGTTTAGGTATAATGTAGTCAATAAAGGATATCAATGAATAAATCTTCATAAAATAGAAAGTACAGTTCCCAAATAAATATACAATAATGGAACTTTGATCTATATTATAGATACATCATTATTATTAAATACCTACCTATTACATTACTTTATTTATTATTTTACACTAAATGTATACGTAATATTTTACTAAAAATATTCCTGTAGCTTTACGTGTCATATTTTTGTAACATTTGATGTCAGTTAATATCTCAGAACCGATCAGAAGGCTTTCTAGGTTTCCTTAACATAATATGAGCATGGGTACAATACTTATTGTTTTCCTACCAATAAATCACAGATATTCATATATAACGTATATGGTCTGTTAAATAATAATAATATAGAGGTATAAGCATGAAAGAATTTATATTTTAAATTAATTCTCAATCTTATACTCATAAAAATTTTAAGTTCGAGTCCAGGCTAGAATTTGAACCTCGTTCTTACTAGAAAAAAGCTGTAAGTAGGTATAGGTATCTATCTATTTAGAACGGTGTTGCATGTGTCTATGATATCTGAGAAATCAATGCACAGTCAACAAAACAACGTAAATGCATCGAACGGCACCGATTTGAAAGGTTTTAATGTAGCTAAAAGCTCAAGGCAACCCCATCTGTTTAAGTCACACCGTGCACAAAACAAAGGCTGTAACTACGAAGTTGCCTTTAATGGCTGTTTGTAAGTATACAAAATAAATTCTGTTGAAATGAAGTCTTGCAACTTGTATATAGCGTCGCCGCCTGCAAACTTCAGGAAAGTTCGGAGGCGTCGGTGGGGGAGGGCGGGAGGGTGGCGGGAAAACTTACCCCACACTCCTACCTTTCAAACCATGATAGCGCAAAAGTCGCATAAGTTATTTTAAGACTCAAATCACGATATTTAATTAGAAATATACTTATGTAATAGTCTGGAAGTAATTACTATTGATATCACCAAGATTACGTATGTAAAAGTTCAATGATTGATAAGTATTTTCCGGATGTAAGTGCTGAAGCTTTTGGCGTCATCGGCGCATAATAGGGTGCGGTCCTGCGCTGCGCGCAATGGTACCGCATTTTCACCCCTTCCCGCGCAACTCCTAACATTCTAGATATATGTACTTAATTATTACATAAGTAATTATTTTTTATTATTTACTTTACATAATAACTAGCTTTATTTGCTGGTTATTATGCAAGAACACCAAATATGCGCATTATAATCTTACCTATACATTAATTATACAATGCATTTTACACCAGTTATAGTATATTATATTAGTCCCATGTAGTAACCCATTCCCAAATCTATCAAACTAAATAATGTATTCCAAATGATGTAGAAATTAATAATTTAAGAAGTCTGAAAGTACCTACTTGTCAATTTCGTGTTTCTTTTCTCAATCTGGTACTTATACAGAAAATATTAAATAAATGTTAATATAATATACATTAAATAAATTAATACAATTTTACATACCTGACTTGGTGGTCACCTTCGTCTTTCGTTGACGGCGTCGCTTAATAGGAGGCATTGTGTTTTGTTTTCTTAATTAACAAAATAAACGATAATTTAAATTGTTATAACTGCTGCTACTGCTGCGAGTGCTGCGAGTGCTGCGAGTGCTGATTAAGAAAAGAGTAATAAATTAAAATTTACAGATAAAATATAACGGGACGCGACAGCCGTGTGATCCGGCGGGCTTGCGGCGCGATATTGATTTTACAGCCACCCCTGGTAGCCAATAGAAAACGCATATAGGTACGTAGGTATCCTATATTGCACACCGGAAACACTAGTGCATCCAGGACGACGGAAGGGTTGTTAGTTAACGAGGGAAATCGGAACAACAATTTTAAATCGACTATTATGCTATGATACACAGTACGCCTGTGATTTATTATTTTGATATCAATGCAAATATGTTAAATGCTGTAAATATATTTTCTATGTGTTAGTATTAGTAATAATCTAGATAGGACGAAGTACATATTAATTCTATACCCGTATCTTGCATTGGCCAATAAGATTAGATTTTTTTTTTCGATTTTAACTTCTACTCTAGAGTTTAAAACCGGCCATTTAATTTAAGTAGATATACCTAACGTAGCATGATTTCTTCTCGGAATCGTAAAGCAAAAGCGAGCTTATGGGTAAAATGATAAAAATACAAGTACCTACAACATAAGTTCCTTACAACAAATTAATTAACTTTGTTATTATCCTTAACTAAGTTCGTAGCGACTACTCCGTGGTTTCGCATACTGCTCGGCTTCTATACCTCTAGATACCTACGTACCAATATGATGTTTTATGAGCTTCGTTCTTCGATAAACTATTTAACACAAATATATTACGCTGCTTGCCAAAACAATTTCTTCATTATTTGTATTTTTAGCACCATCTACAATAATCTACATGTTTAGCAAGTTCAAGCACGGCACAGCTCTGTCTCTAGGTACCTAACTCTTCGTTTAGAATTGCTACCAGCCAGTATGGTGCTATTGTTACTGCTAGCTGGATCCTAGACTGCGTTTGCCTGTCGCGGAGAACCTAACGGGTAACCGGGGCTCCGACTCGACGTGCAGGAGAAGGAACGGGGTGGTTTTTAGTCAGTAAGAGTCTGACCGCCTCACCCAGGCGGGAGCACTCATTCGATAATTTTCCCCCCTTAAAAAAAAAAGTCTTTGTTTGCCTACACATGTCATCCACTCCTAAGGTCATCGGTGACCAGCTAACACCTTTTCGGTTATGTATGTCAACAATCTTAGATTCTCCGATCTTTCAGAGGAACTCCGAGCGTAGCGCTCTTTATGGAGAGCTCACTACTTGAACTTTATTTTTTAAACCAGATGCACTGTCCTCTTGTCTTTGTCAAGTCCCACGTTTCGACTCTGTCTTTGTTAATCATAATACTAGGTACACCATGTAACGAAACTACTTAACTTTCCTGCACGTTACCTAGTCATGGCGTAGGTATAATTCTATGAACTTCATTTCAGATTCTGTTTCTATAAAACTACAGGGTTTGCCCCAGCCTCTCATGAGGGGCAATCGGGTTCGAAAGAACGTGTTGGATTAATATTTATCTTGATGATGTTAGCATTGTATTTGGAAGTGTGAGTGATACTTGCGTTATTGCTGCTTATGACCAATGTAGTATTTTAATACCTTTGACATCTTCGCCATAACAGTAGTAATCAATTCGGGGGATTGGTAAATTAAAAGGCATAGTTACACGTTAGAGAGGTACTTAATTACTTACTTAACTAATAAATCTATAGACGTCGAGTGGATTTGTAAAACTCCTTCGTCTCTTGTTGAGATACTACATTCTACTTATATTATTGGCAGAAACTAAATAAATATATAGTTTACAAAATATAATCTTAACTTTGTGTACTATAGAACAACACAATTCATATCTAACATACATAGAAATATTTCGAACGACTTAAAAGAAGCTATGGATATTTGATATATACATAATAATATTACCTCTTTATCTAATGTAAAATTCTAAGAACACAATTCCAATGAAAATAAATTCGTTCTTGAGCTATGAGACAGGATGTTGGCTGGAAATTCTAAGATGAAGTTACAAGTCTGTGCATATATCGTTCCAGATTAATGGCCTAGTTTAATTGCTGAAAGGACTCCATGGATGACCATGATGACTCTGGGAACTTGTTAGTATTTTTTTGCCCGTGAATGTACTTTAATAAGTCAGTTTCAACCAAAGAGGTTGGGACGCCTACCACTGTGATTTGTGCCTGGCGGTTCTTGAGCTTACTGATGACAAGACCAAATGACGACTAATTGATTGTCTGCATAACATTGTCAGCATCCTATTTGTTGTCTGTGCTAATTATTATGCCTCGGCTTTGGTTTTTCGAACTCCACACACGCGTAGCTTCATTTGGTTGAGGCGTATTCATGATTTTGTTGTACCAGAGATTTAGTTTTGTCGCACCGCACACGTTATTAATATACCTAGTTATAATATTCTATTAACCTAGTTTATTATATTCTATTTATTCTACTACATTTTCTACGCTGAGCCTTAGGTGTTAAAGACTCTTTACTCGACTGATTTAAAAAACTCTCGTGTCCATAAAATACAAGCTTTGAGTCCGTCTTATGAAGTCTGCTCTCTGACCATTTATCCACTATCTCGTCTGGTGGTAAATGATGATACAGCATACGATGGACCACGCCTGCCCTTCTAAGCATACCTACTATTCACTCGAGACTAGAGAAGACACCCACGTGCACCTTCAGGAAGCGTTATCTAAACTCCATTTAAACACAGGTACTATAATAATTTTGAAACACTATTTTAAGCAGTATTAATTACTTTCGACAACGCACACAATCATAATAATATTTTCATACCTCAATAATATTTAAATTAACTTAAAAAAAAACAAAATATAAATATTCACTGCTTCAAAAATAACAATCAATAATTTATTTTTAAATTAAAAATTTTGACTTTAACATTGTATTTCTTTGTTTGAGACGTAATTTCATGGAACCAAACCATATATTTTGAATTCCCGCCATTTTGCTCGCTAACCAGATGAAAAGTTACCTAAAGAGTGGAAAGAGTTTCTTTACTTCTCCATAAGAATACACCTTGGAATGAGCTTCACTATAATTTTTTTGTTGTCGTTTAAAAGTGCCTCCCTTGTTTATTTAAAATAAATGATTTTGATTGATTTTGAATTTCGACATTGACTTTGACTTTTTCAGCTTAGTTCGCCATTAATCATGTCCGTTTGCTCAACACTATCATATAACTTTATGGTATGTAATCGATCGTAAAGCTTGCTGAGAATCGACTAAAACTAAAACTGCAACTAATGTTATCGTGTTTATATCTTTGTGAAGACATCTTGCTAAAGTAAAAAATAATGTAAAAAATAATATACTATTTATTTACTGCTTGATTTACTCCATATTTAGGGTAATACCGGTTTTTAGTTTTGAAACGGAAATAGATACTAATTTGAAATATTTGAAAGTAGATTTGTATTATTCTTATAAGAAAAAGTTTTAGATATGATATTCATATAAATATTAAAAATAATACATATAAGTATCTGATATGATGGTATTTAGGTATCTGTACAAATAAATCGATATTTATTTCATTTTTTTCCTGTGGCTATACTACCAGTATATTTGGAACTTCCAAGGTGGCGTTAGTTTCCAAAGCAAACGTCAAAAACAATGTCATTTTTAGTTCACGCATGTCAGTTTAACTTTCCATCACGTATCAATTTATAATGGATAATATTTTGATCAATCCAGTTGCTATAAATTTATGAATTGGCAACTCTGTCTGTCTTTTGATTGCTGTCACCATCAGGCATCAAATGCACACTCCGATCCGATTAAAATTTATTTTAAATCGTCAGCAATTTATGTAAAAAATTTATTGTGATAGACGTGAGTAATCGATATATTGATTGTGTAGTATCTCGAGTGTGAAAGAGTACTTGGAAAACGTTTTAAAATCAGGCTTTTGTTGTTTTAGGCACGCGTCAAATTATCTGCCTTCTATGGGCGTTCATGTTTTCGTGTAAAAAATGATTGAGTTTACGATAAAAACATTGGATTCCAATAACCACCGGTTCTCAGTCGACGATGAGGTAAGTAATTTTTACTGTTCTTTTAGCAGGTTTTCAAGATGAAGGTATCAGGATATTTTTCTTATAAGGTGCTAATTGCTGGAATTTCGCTGTTTTTAGCGTCTTGGGTTATGATTATTATTCACAGATATCAAGTTGCAGCCCTTTGACACGTATCTGGTACAATAAACTCTATTCTAGTTCCCCTGAACCAGACTAGGTAATCAATAAAATATGGAGGTTTGAGTAGGATGCAAAACTTATAGTAGGTAGGTAGTTACCTACATATAGCTATATGTCACAAAGAACCATTGAGATGCTTGTAATCCTCTAATGAACGATTGCTATTTGACAAACTATAATAAAATACTATTTTGTTGCAACACAGTACATGTTTATGGACTAATTCTGAAGCAGTTTAATCTACTCATAATAATATTTCAACAGTTTTAAACAACTTTCATAGTTTGTTTCCTTCGGCATTTTGACATGAGGTTGAGGGTATTTGTGAACTACTCAGACTTTTTGCTCAAAGGGATTCTCACAGTGTTGGAAATGGGAATACAATAGGAATTTAGGATTGGTATCAAGTTGTAGTAGTGGGGTAGTATAAGAATGGTATGCTAACTAAAGAATATGGTCCTAATGATGAAGAAGCAACATTTAGCTGCTAAGCTAAGCTAAACTGTCACATCTTAATAATAGCCAGTCAATGTTTGATTTAGCCTATACTAATCATATGGAAATTAGTTTTCCCAGGTGCCACAACCTGGCTATGTAATGATTACTTACTTGATGTATATTAACTTACTAAACTTGAAAAATCTACAACTATTGTTCATATAAAAATAGTATTTGGACATCGGAAATAAAGATCTAAATTAGAGTGAGTGGAGAGCTATCCCCGGCAAGCGCTTCGGGACCCAACAGGCTATCCTCCTCTCACATATGAGTAGTTACTGCAGTACTCCAATAAATATAAAAAAATAGGCCCCAGAATTGATTATTTATTTATTTATATTGAGGGTCACCTATAAAAAAATATTTGACTTAAAAATTACCTTAAGATTATCTGTATTCACAATTGTAGGTACCTACACTTACTACAGCATGCATATAGTTCTTTGGCTTACATTAAAATAAAAAAACATGATAAATATTTTAGTATAATATAAAAATTAAAACATAAAAAAAAATTTAATCTTAGCAAAGGAAAATTTAATTAAAAAAAAAAGTAAAACCAGTAGGAAATGTCAAACTCAAGCTAAGGTACCACATTGTATACATATGTGTTAAGTACACATTTCTGCCTACATTACAAAGGTGCGTGATTACTTCTCATAATACAGTGTATTTATCCATATTTGTGTATTATCCAATTTTCTCTTTTTAAAGAATAAGTGGCTATTCAGTATAACCTGACTCTTGCTTATATTGGAAATATGACATGGAAAAAATTTATCTTGCTGCGATCTGCATTCCGGCAAACCACTTGTATTGACATATGAAATACACAACAAAATCTGGTGTAATTCTTTATATATTACTAGTTTAATGATATCCTAAACCAATAATTTGTTATTCTCAGATCATACATTGCAATTATGATATGAATATGAATAGTTCATGTCATCATAGCAATTTGTGAATAATAAGCTACCATTCACTAATAACGGGCATCGTCACAATCATCATACACATACAGTGTGTACACTGAATTATTGGTATGGTATGACCTTTGTATGGCTTACTTTGTGGAAACTGTGATGATGTGTTATGTATGTAGAATGTATCTATTAAAACTCATATTGGGTGTTAATTACCGAAGTAACGTTGACCTAATGTAGCTACTAATAGGGGTTATATTGAAACTCCGTAATTAGTGCTTGAACTGCTGGTTTATATTTATTCGTTTTGGTGCGAACTTAGTACATACAAAAAATTACCATCTTAAGCAAATCGATGTAACGAAACCATAGCTTGCTTTTAATTGCGGCAACGCCATCTAGTTATAAAAATTGAACTAAATTACTGAATATGCATTTTATGGTTTCGTTACTTTGGTCCTGAGTTTTGGTCATGAACATACCGCCCACCAAGGCCGTTTAGTGATGAAATGGCCTTCAAAAATTACACTGAAAACTAACAATTGGGCTTTAGATGTACCTGACAATAGATCTTATTAAAGCAACTCATTTCACACAATTAAAATTAACGGTTCTTAAAAGTAGTAAACAATATTTCTGTAACTAAAACATATTAAACGAAGTTGATCTATAGGAGTTAAATTTACAAAAACAAAAAAAACAATTCATTGATCTGAAATAGGTAGAATACATATTTTTGATGTTGGCCTCTTTATCACAGAAGATTTTGTACGCAATGTGACTACACGGGTTACGTTATCAGCACCGGGATGTTTTTCAACAACACGACCCAGTAACCAACGACTAGGTGGTAAATCGTCCTCTTTGATTAATACGACGTCACCTATATTAGGTTCTGGAACCTTTGAAGCCCATTTGTATCTATTCATGAGATTGGATAAATACTCATGTGACCATCTTTTCCAAAAAGACTGCAACATGCGTTGAACAAATTGCCACCGAGTCAAGCAATTCACATTTGAACTTTCATAATTTCTGTCTGGTACATTAATTAATGGTTCTCCTATAAGAAAATGTCCAGGGGTTAAAGGCAGTGGTTCACCAGGATCAGTAAAGTTGATAACACTAATGGGTCTCGAATTTAGGCAGGCTTCCACTTGATTGAGGAAAGTGGTAAGCTCCTCATAAGTCAGGGTGGAGTCCCCAATAACTCTCTTTAAGTGAAACTTGGTGGATTTCACCCCTGCCTCCCAAAGACCACCAAAATTGGGGGCGTGAGGCGGAATAAAATGCCATTCAGTGTTATTTGCCTCCAAGTATTCTGCTATTGCTGGCTGAATGGAAGCTAGCTCTTGTAGCTCTCGGGAGGCACCTATAAAATTAGTGCCGTTATCGCTCCATAATTTAGCACAGTGACCACGACGAGACACAAACCGTCGAAAAGCGGCCAGAAATGCCTGTGTACTCATATCACTAACTACTTCCAAGTGAATGGCGCGAGTGGACATACATATAAAAAGGCAAATGTAACCCTTGTAAGCGTGATGTCCGCGTCCTTTAGTTGTCCTAATACTGATAGGCCCCGCGTAATCCACGCCGCTGTGTAAGAAGGGTCTTGCTGGGGTGCAACGAACTGATGGGAGATCACCCATGAGTTGGTTCCTGACGCTAGCTCTCTGGCGGGCGCATGTTACGCATTTGCGCACATACTGCTGAACTAGAGATCTAGCACCTATTATCCAATAGACTGACCTCAAGAAGTTTGACATTAACTGCGGACCCCCATGGAGCGTTTTTTTGTGTGCGTCTGCAACGATGAGATGAGTGAGATGGCTTGAGTGCGGTAATACTATTGGATGTTTTGCTTGTTCATCAATCTGAGACTTTTCGAGTCGACCCCGAACTCTCATAATCCCTATTTTGTCAAGAAAAGGACACAGTGATTTTAATTTAATTGGACTAGAATTGAAATTTCCCGTTTCCTTTAATTGTGTGTACTCAGATTTAAATGTATTCATTTGTGTCACCCTTATACAGACTTGTAGTGCTGCCTCTATTTCATACGTTTTTAAATATGTGCTATCATGGTTGTCCCTTCTCAAAAATCGTCGACAGTATGCCACAACTCTAAGTAATTTACCTAAGCTAGAATATTTATCAAAAATTGGATTTTCTGAAACAACTAAATTGGTATGTACCTTTATCGTTTCTTCTAAATTTATTTTCAGATCTTTTGGCCTATTGTACTCAATAACTTTATTCTTTAAAAAACATGGACCGATAAACCATAACTCATTATAAACAAGTGAACTAGGTAGCAACCCTCTTGAGGCGCAGTCGGCAGGATTATGCTTGGTAGAGACATGAAACCATTGAGTTGAACTCATATTGCTCAAGATTTCCGAGGTACGGTTCGCTACGAACGTTATCCACCTGCTGGGATGGCTGCTAAGCCACGACAGCACTACAGTGGAATCCGTCCAGGCAAAGATTTTCGTCTCTGGAATATTTAAGACCTCAGCTGATTCCACCAACACCTTCGACAAAAGTACTGCGCCACATAGCTCTAACCGAGGAATGCTGATCTGTTTGATGGGAGCTACTCTTGTTTTAGCTACCAATAAAGACACCTTAACGTTTCCATTAGTGTCTATTGTTCTCAAATAAACAACGGCCGAGTACGCTGCTTTCGAGGCGTCACTAAAGCCATGCAATTCGAGGTCATTATTTGAACTTATACTGAGCCAACGAGGTACCTGGATTTTGGTAAGTAGTATTAACTCTCCACGGTAAGTACTCCACTCCGTTTTTAAGTTGGTAGTTAGTTCCTCATCCCAACTCACCCCTGCAAGCCATAACTTTTGTATAAACATTTTTGCTACTACGACGCTAGGAGCTAACCATCCTAACGGGTCGAATAAACGAGCTATGTCTGATACAATAGACCTTTTTGTTACAGGTGCGGTGGTCAGCGGCGGAAGATTTACGGAGTATTGGAAGCAGTCTTCGCGGCGGTTCCAGGTAAGTCCTAGAATTTTTATTGTACTATCCAGCTTAATTTCTATGTCCTTCTCTACTATTTTCCTATCGTTGCCTATGATATCTTGTTTGACCTTATCCTTGTTTTCCTCTTTCAATTGCGTTTGATCTAATTGCTGTACTTCTTCGATTCTACATATTGAACTTAGTCTATCTAACAATTGCTGATTATTACTGTTCCATTTCTGTAAAGCAAATCCTCCCTTTCCCAATAATTCTATCATTTGTTTACAGATTTCCACGCCTTCTTCTATGCTATTACTTCCAGTCATTAAATCGTCCATATAAAAACTATTTAGGACTTTAGCAGCTGCAAGAGGGTACTTATCTCCTTCATCGTATGCGACTTGATGGAGTGTTCTAACTGCCTGATACGGTGCAGAGGCTGTCCCAAATGTGACCGTTACCAGCTCATAATCTCCAATTGGTTGTTTGGGATCATCTCGCCAGAGTATTCTCTGGTATACCGTATCCTCATCGGTTACTCTAACTTGACGGTACATTTTAATTATGTCCGCTACAATGCCAATAGCATGAACTCTCCAACGCAGAATCGTATGCCTCAAGTCCGCTTGCAGTGTCGGTCCAACCATTAGAGTATCGTTGAGCGACACTCCCTTTTTATTTTTTTCAGATGCGTTAAACACAACTCGGACCTTCGTCGTGGTCTTGTCTTCTCTAATAATTGCGTGATGGGGTAAGTAAACCGCTTCGTACCTTTTATCATCTTCTTTCTTTACAGCTCTTAAATGTCCTAAGTGTAAATACTCATTGATTACTTCTGTATATTTTTGTTTCAAATCTATGTTCTTGTCTAATCTTTTTTCTAATGATTTAAACCTTATTTCTGCTATGTCACGAGAACCTGCGGCCTTACATGCAGGATCATCGTCACGGAAAGGTAAGTGCACTATATATCTGCCTGTGTCATCTCGTTTAGTGGTTTTAGTATATAGTTCTTCGCATTTTTGTTCTTCTGGACTAAAGATTTTCTTTGTACTGGTTTGCTCTTCTAGCTCCCAAAATTTCTTGAGGAGGTGATCTTCATTGAACTGTGCGCAATGTACGCTTATATTATTTGTTGGTAAGTTTGAACTCTCGTTGCTTGTACTAACTACACCAGAAAGGACCCACCCTAGAGTGGTGTTCTGTGCCATAAGATTGCAGGATGGACTCTTCACTATACCTTCCTTCATGATGCAGCAATAAGCATCTGCTCCCAATAAAACGTCTATTTTATTGGGTGTACCAAAATAAGGATCCGCTAAACATAGATTGTTTAAGTTAATCCAATCTATTGAACTAGTACTCACACTTCGTTCCGGTAAGTATGACGTTATTTTATTCAAAACATAAGCATTAAGGTTAAGTTGAAACGCGTGATCTACTGTAGACTTAATAGTTAAATTAACCATATACTTGGAAATGGTCGGTCTCTCGTGTCCCAAGCCTGAAACGATGCCTCTGACGGGAATTTTCTTTAATCTAAGAAATTGAGTCGCGGCCTCGGTTATGAAACAAGCCTGTGAGCCTTGATCCAGCAAGGCTCGGATTGTTTGAAAATCACCCAACCTATTCTCGGCCTTTATTAGCGCGGTGGCTAATAAAACCTGTTTAGGCTTGGGGGTTTGGCGTGTAGATAAACATGCCACTATTTGGTCACTAGTCGAAGCGCTAGTGTTGTCAACAGTGGACTTTGCAGTCACATCATGACCATCACTGTCTGCAGGCGGTTCCCTATTAGGGTGCAGCAATGAATGATGGCGCTTTTTGCACACTCTACAGAACGTCTGTTTTTTACAGTCGTATACTGTATGGTTGCCTCCTAAACAATTAAAACAAATTTTATTCTTTGCAACAAACTCGCGCCGTCCGTCTGTGGACTGTTTTGCAAATTGTTTACAGAAGCAGAGCTTGTGGGGTTCCGAACAGTATTCGCAACGTATGTTGGACGACTTCGTGGCTAACATCGCTTTGGAATTGTGAATGTGTGAACTATGATTGACCTGGTGAGCCATAACCTTCCTAGGCTCGATGCATTCAAGTGCGCGGAATCGACCTTCAATAAACGTTTTAAACTGGTCAAATGTGGGCAATTCATTACTTGAGTTTGAGTCGTTGGAAATACTCAACTCCCACTGCTTACGAGTCTCATTATCCAACTTGAACGTTACGATATGAATGATGATAACGTCCCATGTACTCACATCGATATTAAGATTTTTTAATGCACTTAAACAGTCACTTGTGGTGTCTAACAATTCTTTTAATGATGTTGCTGATTCAACAATTAAACGTTTTTGGCCGAACAATCTTTTCAAAATACAATTGGTTAAGTACTTCTTATTAGCATAACGCTTTTCTAAATGCGACCAACATTCACTGTAGTTGGCGTCTGTAATTGGCGTGTGTCTAATCAACTGCTCAGCTTCACCCGTGAGGTGGCTTTTGAGATAATGCAGTTTTTGAACATTATCTAACGACTTGTTATTGTGGACTAAAGAAATAAACAAATCGTGAAAAGTTGTCCATTCACTGTATTTCCCAGAAAAAGTAGGAATTGTAATTTTAGGTAGCTTTACAAATGAATGAGATGATTTTGAGCTATTAGTACTATTGTTACAACTATTATTTTGCATTTGCGGCTCATTAATATTAATCTTATTAAGTGTTGATTTCATTAGACATTTGCAGGTAATGTAAATATCTTCAGTTGAATCATAGATATCCGCAACCTTTTGACTTACTATATCTTCAATTTTATATTGACCATAAAGTTGAGTCTTTGTATTTTTAAATGACGACCAATCATTTTCCAGTAATTCAAGTCTAGTCTGAATATATTCTACAGAAAGTCTTTCTTTTGGACTCTTTTTAAAATTAGTCAAAGCCTTTTGAATTACAGTTTGAAGGTCTTTTAAAATATTAATTTTGCCTTCCATCTTAGATAAACAAACTAACTAACAAAATAATTATGTAAATAAGCTAATTAGTGTAACTTTGTAACAAAGTTGACGAAATTTTTGTAAGTCTCAAAAAATCCGAAAATTTTTACAAGTGTTTGGGAACTAACTCAGCTCTGGTAGAAATCGGGCATGGATTCCCCGTTCCCCCGTTTTTTATAAAACTATTCTAAGTCCTAACATGCACTCTTAAAACTAAGTTAATATTATCACTAAATCTTAAAGTTAAAATGTTCATAGAAATACAGTTGAAAATTGCTTAACACCAAAATAACTATCTAAAATGTTCAAGTTAAAATCTTCCTTAAAATAAAGTTCAGATTCGCTTGACCGATTGCTTGTTTTTTAATTGTCACTGCTACTGTTAAATAAATCAAATATTGTACTCACGATTGCACTTCACTCACACAAACACGTTGGTCGGTTGAACTGGAATGTACTAGTGGCGCCCCCTGTGGCGTCACTTTGAACTTAAACTCCCGGCTGCTATCGTCCACCTTGTTGAACGAAGCTGTCTCCTCTTCAACTCGAAGATTGTTCTTGAGATGTACTACTGGTGGCGCCCTCTGTGGCGTCCCGTTGAACTACCAATCCCACCGCGCAAGCTGAGTCGTCCAACAAGTTAGACGAAGCTGTGGCGGCCTCTGCGGGATCTCCAGTACTTTGCCGCAGCGATCCACTGCGAGTACTTGGGGTGTGTACCAAAAAGTCAGACTATTCCGGGTCTGATATCCGGGCTCGATGGACCAATGTTAATTACCGAAGTAACGTTGACCTAATGTAGCTACTAATAGGGGTTATATTGAAACTCCGTAATTAGTGCTTGAACTGCTGGTTTATATTTATTCGTTTTGGTGCGAACTTAGTACATACAAAAAATTACCATCTTAAGCAAATCGATGTAACGAAACCATAGCTTGCTTTTAATTGCGGCAACGCCATCTAGTTATAAAAATTGAACTAAATTACTGAATATGCATTTTATGGTTTCGTTACTTTGGTCCTGAGTTTTGGTCATGAACATTGGGTATATATATAAATATTATTAGCAATTTCAAATCAATCAAATAGCATTATAGTTTTGCTAATTTCTTCCGAATCAGTCTGAAACAGCTAATGTAACTACCTAGTACTGATGAAAAATTTATGGACTTTAGACCTTCTTCATAATGTTCAATGGTCTTGTCAACAGAAATAGAAAAGAATCTATTTATTCAGATAGAGCATGAATCCATTCATTAGTCTTAAGATTTAGTTACCTAGATTAGTTAAATGGACTGGTGCTCTAATGATATATATAGTATTTACTTGGTTATTAAGATGGGTACTTGTTCAATACTTCAACTCTTCACCACTTAGTCTATCATAGTTCACTTTTTTTAAATCATGATTAACTATAATTGGTATTTAAAAATACAGTTGTATTTTTAAACTGTCAAACACCAAGCGGTCACCGCTGACCGCAACCTATTGTTCTATAATTGTGTCTACAAAACCAGTACTCGATGAGTTAAATCCTGCTTTTCTACATATATGGTTAGTTTTTGATTAATATTAACTTTTTTAATATGTAGGTATATTTAATACGATGGTGTTTGGCCTCTCGTGCTAAGAGATGGTGATAAATAGTGGTTACTAATAGATAATTTAACACATCATTCATTTAAATTGAGGCAAATAATGTACTGTGTTCGTCAAGTACCAAAAACTGATTTATAACTGGTGAAACAAGCCCTAAATGTAATCCATGACTTAAATTGAAATAGTATGATTAACTTTCTGATTGTGTAATTGAAATTTTGACAAATGAAAATGAAACTTCTATAATTTCATACTAATTATATACTGTGAGTTGCATCACATTGGTGAGGTGTGGAATAGCACCGCAACATCCACAATATTCTTACTGTCACGGGACAGTATTTATACCACGGGGTATACTGGAACACAGATCTACTCAAAACAATGTGTTTTATATAAAGTATTTTGTCTCATATAGGCACAGACAAGAGATGGATTTATTTTGCTCGCCTCATTTCTTTGTTTGGGTAAAATTTTAAAATACAGATTTACTTCCTTTCTGATGACAGATTGATCTGATGTTTGGTAAACATTCTTAAACATGAGGACTAAACTTTTTGATTTTAAAATGACACCTTTAGTACTAAGTACATCTTTTTAACGGGTGACATTTTTGAGTATTTATAAGAATACATTTATGGGATGTAAGTATTTACTACTTTTATGATTGCTAGGCATAATTTTATCGAAAATAATGAATATCTAACTGATATGATTCACTGATTGGACTAATTTGTAAATTGCTAGCTTATCTTTCATTTCTTAGGCAGCGGCAGGTGCATACAAGTATAAGCATGTTTATGCTGGTATTGCTGGTACAAACAATATCATTTAATTTAAGTAGGTCATATATTCCAAATCCTATTACATAATTAGCTACTTTTAATATTTACATTTTCAAGACAAAAAGAACAAAGTTATTTGTTCTTTTGTTCAATATTACTTTATATGACAGCCACTGCTTTTACATCTCCGCAAGTACTAGAACCACTAAATTAAACAGTTCAGTTCAGTTCTACAGAAAGAATATAATGCATACAACAAGAACAAACAATATTAAAAGAACTGCCAATGTTTAGTATAAACAAATCATGCCTTGACAGTAACCTTGTGACATTGTAACATAACCTCGTAGTTCCTATAATCCTTCCTTAAGTGTGGGGTGGTTAGTGTCCACTGCCTGACAATGTGGGCCAATCAATAAGCTTGAATTCTTTATACTTCTTTACGTCCCAACCAACCAATCAACAAGCTTAGACATGTGTTAAAGAAAAGATTATCTGCTCGAACATTCAACCTTTGTTTAATGAAGCTGTTTCAATTTCAATATTTATTATTATGTATGTTCTTTGTTATATATTCTACTGCTTCTGCAATTTGTATTATTTTGTTTTATTTTGTGTAAGGTTCTGGGCCCCGGCCACACTATGGTAAAATAAGAGCTGTATACAAAGTAACCTTATACACTGCAAGTCACTTGCATTCTATTTCTTGATTGACAAAATAACGCGGTTAAAATCTACCGCGGTTTCGCCGTACTGCGGCTGGGGCCTTATTGTACAAAAATATGAATATTTTTACTGGATGTTTACAGTTACAATTTTTGGTAAATCAGCTAGTAAGATTGATATTAATTTTAATTTATTAAATACACTTTAAAAATACCCACACAAATAAGTAATTTACTTATTATTGAAAGTTAGACCCATATTATGGTTCTAATTTTCAATATTCCGATTTTGTCTTGAGTATTTTTCAAGATAGTCAGGATGTGCTTGTGAACACTTATTGCATTGCCAATTGTGCCATATTTGCTGCGCGCGATAGGGGCTGGGAACAGTAGCGGATACGGTTGACTAGGTCTTTGTTGTTGGTTGTTCGCAGTATGTACTTGTCATACTATGATTTATGCCTACCCTACATAACGTCGTCTTTAACCGTTTGAATGCACCTATATACGACACAATAGAAAATACATTGTGTCTCGCGTGGATCCACGTCTTAGACACACGAAAGGTTAAAGACTAGTGTAGCTGAACTAGGAGTCCGTAATTTTATTTCGAAAGACAGTTAGCCTTATAAATAAATAATTGTTTTGTTGAAAACCAGAACGTCGACTGACTACTTCGACAGAGTCTTTTATCGATCAACGTTACTTCGACTGAACGATTTACCGGACATCTATTAATTGAAATATTGTTATTTCGAAATATTCTAGTTTAATAATTTGAATGTCACATGGTACTTCATACCTACATAATATTACGGTGTTTCAAGAATGTTTTTCATCATCATAACATCACGCCTTTTATCCCCGAAGGGGTAGGCAGAGGTGCACATAATGCCACTACAATGTAACACTCACTTTTCACTATTTATGTTATGAGTCCCATGTAATAGGGGGAGAGCCTATTGCCATATACCGGGCACAGTTCCAGACTCCGTGCTACTACTGATAATTTTTTAAAACCCAGTAATACTTTGCCCGACACGGGAATCGAATCCGAGGCCCCTTGCCCGGCAGTCGCACTTGCGACCACTCGGCCAACGAGGCAGTCTATCATGTATAGAGAACATGTAGTTTTTAAGGGTATTAAACTGTCAAACACCAAGCGGTCACCGGTGACCGCAACCTATTGTTCTATAATTGTGTCTATAATGAGGTTTTTATTAAATCAATGAATATTTTTCTATTTATAATGATTACGTACATTATTGATTCTTCCTTTTCACCACATTTCATGTTTCTGAATGTATGAAAAACATGTGTGGATTCCGGATGGAACACCGTAATCTTGTATGAACTAGTAGTATTTACTGTGACAAAATTCATTGTTTTATTAAAATTTATTTCAAATGATTAAACTATAGAATATTTAGAAGTAACAATATATCGATCAATCAATGTTTGGTAAATCATTTAGTCGAAAGTAGCGTTGATCGATAAGTTGATCGATTGTACACTTCATTCGTCCAATCGGCCAGTCGACGTTCCGTTTTTAGACCAACTGTCTTTCGAAGTAAAATTACCGACTAACGACAAAATCTAAAAGTGATCTGATTAGTTAAATAATTTATTCTTGGGCCGTTTTACAATACATATTAAATAGTCAGAATATTGGTAGAATTAATGGATTATTTTATCTGTAAAGTACTTTTTTCAACCTATTAAAGCCTAGCCTAGCTAGAGAGATTTTAAACGAGCATTTGTTTTTTGAATACAACATCGACCACTTAAAACCTCGTTATTGTATTGTTGTAAAGTCTAGAGAGGCTTAGGCTGAGGACTCACGCGATTTTTTCCCGCGCCCGCTGCGGTTACGGGCTCGCATTATACAAAGGTGTAGAATACAGATATGTACCTATGTAAAAAATCAAAGCGCTTTTCACGGCGCGTTACGTCCGGGGCGGTTCGTATTGTTGGCGGGTTCCGCTGCACCGGCAGGCGCGGCCGCGGCGGCTAGCACCCCCCGTTCTGCGATCGGTTGGCGGGCGATCGTAATGGGACGGGTCGGTCTGGAACTCAACTGATTGTTTAACGGCCCGCCCGTCTTGCGATAATATCAACCGCCAAGTTTACGGACGATAATCGCAACCGCGGCGGCTGCGGACACGCTGAAAACTGTGGTCTCGTGAGTTTTGAAAATTCTACCTCCATTACGCCACCGCGTAGGGCGCGGGAGAAAATCGCGCCGTCAGTCCTTAGCCTTACAGACTTGTTGATGAATTGAAATCTACCTCAATTAATTGACACAGCCATTGCATGTTCATTCCATTTAAGATGGAATTTAGTTGCAGTCTCCATTCTAATTGAAAAACGCACTCGATACAATAAGTTTGCTAGTTGAAATAAATAAGTAACTGAATACTGGTCAAGTAAATAGCAAAATATGAGAGACGACAAAAAAGAAATTCTGTTTAGGCTATTAGTTAAGTAGGTACCTATCTAACAATCTTTTTTAGATAAAGTTTATTATTGAAGGTAGATAACATTGTCTTGCGACGTCATAACTTCTAAAAATTATACTGCGTTGCATAATAAAAAGAAAGGTGGTATCTTCGGAGATAATACTGATTTTTTAAGTTATACAAATTGTGTATACCCATGGAATAATATGTCTATCAAATCTACATTTTTTTTCTCACCTGATCTATCAAAATAACACCTGAAATTTTTACTAACTATAAATTAGTTAACTACCTAGTTACTAAAATCATAGTTTTGAGTACCTACTCAGTTTAGATTTATGAGCTAAAATAGGGTGTTGTTGCATGCAGTTGCAAACATAATTTATGGTTTAATATAACCTTGCTCGTTTGATACTGGTTCATACACCGACTGCAAATTACACGGTTGGTGT